ATTATTATTATTATTATTATTATTATTATTATTATTATTATTATTATTAGTATTATTATTGTTGTTGTTGTTGTTGTTGTTGTTGTTGTTATTTTAACGTAAAGAATCTATCGCAATGTGAATGGATTCCCATTTCTCTTTTGAATCTCACTCTTTGCCCTTTTCCTTTTGAAAACAGATGAATGTGCCACCCTCATCCTGGCCTGCTTATTCTGCCAGTTTTGGGAGTTTCTGTTCATGTTGCCTGACGTCTGTGAAAACTGGCTGATCGATACGTGCTGTCCTTCCTACAGATATCACCAAACCTCAAGCGACACTTCCAACAATGGTGACTGCAGCTGCAGCTGTGACATTGATTGCAGCATCCTTGAGTCTTGTCAGGAAAGTGGGGAATGTCTTGAACTGGCTCTGGAAGTCTCACAAGTCTGTTTTCATTAGAGTAAAAATACTGGTTCCCTCGAACCACCCTTGAGGAAACCAAAGGATGGATTGATTTAAACCATAGTATCAAGCATACAGCAACATGTTTTCCAGCTTCACCTGTTGAAATGCATCTTGTTTTAAACCCTGTGCAGTCTGTATAGCTTGGGCCCTCTCCCTATAAATTTAAGATGAGAAACTGGATGAGCAACTGTCTTGTAATGGGGTTTAAGAATCATGTATGTAATATTCCAGAGTGAGAAATATAGATATTGTTTTCCTTTTCTGATGAAACTCAACTTTGGGAAACTAAAGGCAGCTTGGCAAGTAGCATATTTAAGACAATTCCCCCACCATAAATATTTCTTCACCCAACATATAATTAATAAAATATGCTGAATTTAGTACTGTAAGATTTAATGACAGCCCAGAGGTGCTTTTTCAAGAGATAACTGGACTTTTTGGTTTTTCTTTGAAGATGTTTTGCTTCTCATCCAAGAAGCTGAAGAAGATTCTTCTTGGATGAAAAGTGGGGAGTTTTTTGCTTGCTTTTTTTTAAAAGCTACTGATTTAATGGAGCATCTATCTATCAGATAACTCCATCTCAAATATCATTTGCAGAGAGCAAATTATAAAGGAGGATTAAGGCTGAATATGCCTTAATTTGACGCAGCATGGGATGTCCCAATTTATTAATACATCAGTCCAATTGCTTGCAATTTTTTGGCAAATTTTATTTACAATTGATTCTGTATGTCCTGGAGAAATGCTTGTCTTATTTTAGGACCTCCACCAACTTATCTTCCTAATGGATTTTATATATAAACATATTCCACATTGTTGGTGATTATTAATAATGAATGATGTTATGTCCTTTTATAATTAAAATTTCATTTTTACGGTCTCTTACGACACACCCACACGCACATACTTTATTTCAGTCAGAAAATTTAATGAATTAGAAAGAAGGCTAGGCATAATTACAGTAAATGGACATTTAAACATATTTTGAGTGTATTGTAAAGAACATGTATTTTTACTATGGTTCTGAAAGCTGTGAGCCTAAGATTTTCATTGTGCACCAAGAGATTATGGCAGCATGATGCTTCTTCACAGTGTTGGTTCAACAGAAAATAAGGCCCCATTATCACGTTTTAAAAAACTTTCACCGGTGTATGTATGGATATATATATATATATATATATATATATATATATATATATATATATATGTTATTCAGCTTTGTTCAGGTATTTTTCCACGTCATTATAGTTGTGCTTTTAAAGTTGTACCAACATTTCAGCAGAATCTCATCTGCCATCATCAGACGAACACAGCCTGATGATGGCAGGCAGATGAGATTCTTCCAAAACGTAAAGCACAACTATATATATTGATTTTCACAATTGTATCATAAGGAATGGATTTTGGATGCCATTATACTGTTGCAAAATAAATTGAATTTCAGAGATGAACCAACGAGACTTTGTTTTTGATGTTGTTAAAAGTGACAGATTCCACCCCGTGTAAATTTTGTCTGTGTGGCATGAAATACCCACACTCAGCAAAAAGGAAGACAAAATGTGATCATTCAGAAGACTAGTTTATAAACTAGCTCAGGCAGCCATCTTATTTTGTGGATCTATATTTCTTAACAAGAGATAAGCTTGCTTATCTGTATGTTCTAGTGCACATTTTATAGAAACACAGTCAGCAACTGACAAAAATCCTGAGCCAAAGGCAGATCATAAAGCCAGCAGTTAAGAAGGAGAATACTACTAATACCCAACTTCCTTTTTACAATCCTGTAAACCATAATTCAGGGAAGAGTCAGGGTGACTGGATAGAACTGAGCATTTCCTGGCTGGATACCCTTCCTAATGCCACATGGAGTTCACAGCAAGTATTTTTTGTTTGTGCCCTGGGAGAGAGAAACATCTGTTACTACCTAGGATTGAACTCTCAACTTTCTGAGTGGGAAGCGGGCGTTTTCACCACTAGGCCATCACTCCGCTCAACTATTATTAATTCCTACTTGTGTGTATATATGTCTTAGAGCCAGTGTTGACTCTGGATGCTGTCTGGACAATTCTCTGCAGTTTTCTTGGCAAGATTTTAGAAGTGGTTTCCAATTCCATCCTTCCTAGGGCTGAAAGTGAATGACTGGCCCCAGGTCATCCTGCTGGTTTTGTAAGTAAGGTAGAACTTATAAAGAACGTTAGAACTACCATCTTCTGGTTCCTAACCTGGTGCCTCAATCATTACATCAAACTGTCTCTGTAATTCCTAGACTTGCTAGCCAACACCACACAGGCTGTTGGATTATATTTCAAATCTATATCTATATATCTATCGATATCTATATATATCTATCGATATCTATATATCTCTATCTCTATCTCTATCATCTCTATCTCTATCTCTATATCTATCTATCTATCTATCTATCTATCTATCTATCTATCTATCTATCTATCTATCATCTACCAAAGTAAAATACCACTCACGCATCATCACAAAATATCCAGAACCATACACACTTCCTCACTAGTCCAACAATGAAAGCCACAGGTCATAGCATTGACTTCAATGGCACCAAAACCCTAGCCACTATAGAAAACCCCAGCCACAGAATTATCAGAGAAGCCATAGAGACTGAAAAAAGACCTGAAAGCATGAATAGAAGAGATGACCCCACCAGACTGTCAATTATCTGGAAGCCTGCACTCACAAACAAAAAATCTCCACACCACAAGCCAAGCAAACACCTGGGCACAAACAGACCCCCCCCCACCTCCAGCTCAAACACACCCCAACCAGGCACCCAGATGAAACCTAGCTTCCTAATAAATGGTAGCCATCCGTTTACTTGGAGCCAAGCTGCACTAAAAGCCTCCAATACAGGTAACATAATGTTGCCAGCCAATCAAGACAAAAAAAGCTACAAAACAGACAGAAGATATTAGAAACACCAATCAAGCAGAACACAGCAAACTCCAAGACCAATAAACACAGACCAAGACTCCCAACCAATCAGGATGAAGAAAAAACCATTCTGGAACAGCATAGGCTAGCACCAAATTTAAAACAGAAATGGCTGTGAAAGTCTGACTCACAGACGAATACTATACAGAAGCCTGATGATGGCAGGTGAGATTCTGCCGAAACATTGCTACAACTTTAAAAGCACAACTATAATGATGTGGGAAAATACCCGAACAAAGCTGAATACCATATATATTGTATTCTATTGTATTCTATTCTAGTGTGCGATGACCTTCTGAGTTCTATTGTTGAGTTCTTCTATTGTCAGAAAGTCATCACACAGCCCATGACCCAGGTCATTACGACCCAGGAGATTACAGCGCAAGACCCAGGATGTCAAAACAATAGAACTCAGAAGGTCATCACACAGCCCATTACCCAGGTTGTTACAACACAGGAAGCTGATAGACACACAGACAATGCCTTAGCCACACATGCTCTTACAAAAAAGCCAGCCAATCTGCAAACATCAACTCCATCAACCAATCAAGAAATCGCAACACAGCCAACCTCCCCACCAGTATATATAGGGAGACGGCAGTTCCGATCACACTTTGCTCGCACAAGCATGAAGCCAAAAGCACCAGCCTGAAGATGGTGAGTGGGACCTCATCGAAACGTTGCTAAGATGCTTTCAACCTTTCACGGGAAAAGACCCAAACACACCAAGACCTGCATAGCTGTACCCATATATATATAATAGCCCAAGTTATAGACTCATAACAAGTAGTATTCTGCCATTAGAATTTCTAGAAGTTTCATTTGTATTTCCCACAATGAAAACCTTTTTATGTATTTGGGAACTATTCTGAGGCAGGAAAACAGCAACCCACCAGAATCAGAGAAATTACAGAAAAGCCAACAAAAGTGAAACAATGGTAAAAAAAAATGGCAGATACATGGAATTAAGCAAGAAGGGTCTCACTCTCCCTCACCAAAGGCCTAGGTCAGTGTCTTCAAACTTGACAGCTTTAAGACTTGTGGACTTCAACTCCCAGAATTCCTCCTCCAGTCATGTTAGCTCAGGAATTCCTGGAGTTGAAGTCCACAAGTCTTAAAGCTATCAAGTTTAAAGACCCTTGGCTTAGGTAAAGAGCCTGATAGTTTTAAAGAGCAAAGGGGAGGCCATCTGGATCTCAAGAGGAGTCTCTTGAGGTGGCCCCTACAGAGAAGGCAGGCTACAGAGAAGGCAGGCTACAGAGAAGGCAGGCTACTGGGTTTGATGGATGACATAGTTTACTCAAAGAAACTTGGAGCATACCAAACCTGTAGGATTGAATCAGCTGGGCAGATGTTATGGGAGACATGTGGTCCTTCAATCAACAGTTGCTTTGCCATGTAGGACTTTAGAGGTAGCAATTAGCACTTTGAATCCAACGTAGAAGAAAATTGGCAATCAATGCAGCTCATGAAGCAGAGATATCACCTGGGCATACTGGAGCATGCTCATCACTGCCTATGCCTCTGCATTCTGGACCAGTTCAAGCTTCTGGTTGGTCATCAAGGGCAGCCCCTTGTATAGTATGTTGCAATTGTCAAGCCATATGGTTATTAGGACATTTGAAAAGCATAGCACATTTTAAACAAACTGAGTCATAGAATCATAGGGGTGGAAGAGACTTTGGAGGTCTTTTAGTCCAACTTCCTATCCAAGGCAGGAGCCCTTATATCATCCTGGACAAATGTTTATCCAATCTTCTCTTGAAAACTTCCAGTGATGGAGCATTCACAACTTCAGGAGGCAAACTGTTTCATTGATTACTTGATCTCATTGTCAGGAAATTGCTCCCTATTTTCAGGTGAGATCTCCTTCTGGTGTCTCTCCCATTCCTTTTAAGATCACCTGCTTTTAATCTCTTATCTTCTATTTGCTCTGTCCTTGGTTCTGATTTCCCCCAGTGACAGGTCTACACAGCCAGCTTTTATTCCATTACACACCCTACTATCAAAGTCCTACCAGCCTACGCCAAATA